ACAGGCCTCTCATTTTGATAGGTGAAGAGTGATTGCTTAGCAGCCAGTCTTGTGATTTTGCCTATAGAACAAGAGAGTGTAAAACTGTCAAAAGCCTCCATCTCACCAAGGTCCCTTGATCTTTCTAAGCTCAATTTTTCTTTAATAAAAATGTGCATAATAATAAATGATCAACTCTCTTAAAAGAACCTTTTCTCTCAAGGATATTTTGAGGCACAAATGATGAAGGGCTTTCTAAAACTAGGAAATTCCAGAGCCAAACTTAAGTATATTAAACATGAGTCCTTTGAATTACAACACTCTTCATGCCTAGTAAACAATCTTGAATACAGTTAACTCTACCTCTTTTCCTCCTTGTCTCATTGGAATTCAGAAGCAAAACTAAATTAACTTACAGTGCTTAATTCACAATATTTTATCACACTGTGGGGCAAAATGTTTCTTGCTTTATTTTACTCATGCATCTATTTATTATATTTTAATTACATTTCCTACTTCTACTCACCATTGACACTTAATGGAATATGATAAGCATATGTCTGTAAATACGCGCATATATGGTATGCTATAACCCCTATTTGGGTTCATAAGGTGCATGCATAGACAAGGTCACTCAGTACTGCTAGTACTTAAGAGTAGGTCTTGGATATAAGGGCCATCTGGCTATGAAATGTGTCACTCCATTGATCTCCAGAGTTGATTCAACTGAGCTGGCTGGCTAGGCAGTTGTCCCTTTCACTTCTTCACTACTCCTATGGAGCCCGTGCATTTGGTTGAAGAAGATGACTTTCCTTGATAAAGGGCCTTCTTCAGCCAAAGTTGTATAAGTACCTGTGCTCCCTCCTAGAGCCCCCAGACAAGATGCTAAGAGTTCTTATACCACCACTGTATGGGTATTCCTCTTCCTTCTAGCCTGATTCTTCAGATAATCTCATTTTCTGATGTTACTATTCCAACTGGTATAAAATGATGACTCATGGGTGTTTTAATGTGCCATTTTGTAATGTAGTGAAATTAAGGTCTAGACTAACACATTTATTAGCTATTTAGACTTTCACTTCAAGATACCTACTCATTTTTTTTTGCTGTTTCTCCATATTTCCTATCTTTTCTCATGGATTTTAATAACTACTAAATGAATACTTTTTGCATGATATGATTTTCTTCTAGCCTGTTTCGCTTAACTTTTCCACAATATGCTCTATGAAACTAAACCTTAACAGTTGCACTTAAATATAACTTAAGTGTTTTCTCGCCCTAGAGTTTGTGTGTTCAGTCATACGGGATACATTTAACAAGAGCTAAATATTTCTAATTTAGACAAATGTTCCCTTAAATATTATCCTGTATAGTTTATAGGCTTACATGTTGTTACATATAGTTTTTGGCAGTTCTGGGGTTTTGAGCTCACAGTCTTGAGCTTGTTTTCAAGTGCTCTATCACCTGAGCTTGAGCCATGCTCCAGCTCTTTTTTGTTTTAGCTTCTTTATGTATAGGGTCTTGATAGTTTTTTCCCAAGGCCAGCCTCAGTCCATGACCATATCAAGTCTATGCTTATATGTGGTACAAGGAAGATAGTTATCCAATGTTGCTATCCTCATATAATGAATTCATTTTTTCAGTATCATATCCTAAATTATAGGTTCTTTCTCCATTGATTTGTGGTGCTTTGACATTCCTGTGACAAAATACCTGACATAAACAACTAAAGGGAGGAAGGATTTCTTTGGGGTCCTGGTCTCAGAGAATTCACAGGGAGAGTGTAGCAGAACAGAGAAGTTCACATCATGTCCAGGAACAGAAAGAGAGAGAGAGAGAGAATATGCTTATGCCATTGTGTCCTCTCCTTTTTTCCATCCCAGCCAATGGGATTGTGCTGGCCACCATCCAATTAATCTGGTTAATACTCTCTGGAAATGATATCACAGACACACCCAGAAGCTCACTTTGCTAATCTAGGCAGCTCTCAGTCCAATAAGGTACATTTATGCATGGGTCCACCTGGATAGTGATCCTCCTACCTGTGGTTCGGGAACCACAGGCACACAACTCCATGCCTGGTATATTCTTTGAGATGGGTCCTTACTAACTCTTTGTCCAAACTGGCCTCAAACCATGATCATCCTGATCTCTGCTTCCTGAGTAGCTGAAAATACAGGCATGAGCCACCATTCATAGCCAGCATGGGTTTGTTTTAACACTTTTTCTGTTCCACAGATTGATATGTCTGTTCCCAAACAAGTGTCACCATTTATTTAATTACTTTGGCATTGCAAATATTGAAGTCTCACATAGTAACTCCTCCTCCACCCAGTCACCTGTGCTCTTTCTAAATTCATTTAACTGTTTATAGATGTTCATACTTATATATGAATTTTGATTGAGTCTGTATGGGTTCCATAGATTAGTTAGAGAAAAATCAGACAGCATATTGGTGTACATGCAATCTCATTTCATTTATTTAAATTTTCTTCTATATCTTGAATAGAGTTTTAAGTTTCTCTATAAAGGAGGGTATGTGAATTCATTGCTTTCTAATATATACATACAATATATAAATTGTTAGGGAAGGGCTGGTAAGAAGGGCAAAGAAAGGAAGAGACCTCAACAGAGTTGAATCACGCTTTATTAGTGGGGCAGAAGGGCGTCTGGCAGTCCCCAGGGAAGAGCTGGGGTAAGCTGGGTTTTTAAGACCAAAGTAAAATGAAGACGGGAAGTAGTTGTCCTTTAGTGATTTGGGAGGGCTGTTATTTCAAGGTTGTTTGTGCAAGCCTGTGATTTATGACCTGCACGAGGGATTGCAGTAGAAGGTCAGGGGATAGAGTTTCGTACATAAATAATACACACATACACACATGTGTACATAAATATTTACTCTGAGAAAAACAGTTTCTCTACTCACAGAGAACCCTTCTGATATCAGACCTGGTTTTTCTTTTTTTTTTTTCCTCACACTGACCAATTCCTGACACCAAAGAGTTGTCTTGACACTTCAATTTTGACACTGTCTACTCAGAGTTAGCATCAGATCCCAAAATTTAAAGAGCTCAGTTCCACAAGTCTTCCTTGACTTTAGAAGATAATCGCCCATCTGGGCCTCCCAGATTTCTGACTGACTAGAAATAAATTGGAAAATCCCATGACCCTTCTTCGGGTTTGATAATTTGCTACATGGCACATAGAACTCAAGAAACACTTTACTTACATTTTCTCACTAATTCTTCTCTCCTGGAAAGTGGTATGCTTATCTACCTGAAAGTATATGGGATCTCTTTTTGAAGAGTTTTCACAGAGTTTAATCTCCAGCAACCTCAACCCCACTTTCCTAGAGGTCACCCATAGAGTTAAAAGTTCCAACCCTAATTACTTGGTCTTTCTTTTCCATCCTGAACCTATTCAGGGGAGATATCCACCTTGTCACCTTATTAGCATAAACTCAGGATTGATCAAAAGGAGCTCCTTAAGAATAACAAAAGACATTTCTATCACTCAGGAAATTCTGTTAGAATTCAAGAACTCCAAAGGGCTTTGTTCTAGGAACTAGAGACATCCACCAAATATATTTCTTATTATAATACACACACACATAACATAATTATACCATTTATAAAGATGTGTGTGTGTGTGTGTGTGTGTGTGTGTGTGTGTGTATGAAAGGGTCTTGCTTACATAATGATTTCCTACATTTTATCAATACACATAATTTCATTATAGCTAGGGCTGCATTGTTCTTGCTTTAGGATAAAGATTTAGCCATTAGAATGAAGAAACAATACTGTCAATAGAAGGATACTGGGATAGAAATGAGTTGATATTGTCACTGTGTTCAGTGAGGGTCTCAGGAGGTAGAGGAGACCCCCCAAAAGAAGTGGAACTTTACTCAAGTCACTAGGTTCTCCAAACACAGAAAATGAATTTTCACAAATCCAGGATAAGAGACAGACAGACATTTATTTAGCAAGTAAAGCAGAAAGTACAGATGAACTTCAAAGGCAAGGCATGGGCTTGTAGGAGGGATGCATAAGAGCTAGCTCAGCAGGGGTGTAACTGCTGGGAAGAGGAGGGCAGGAGACCTTGTAAAACATTTCTTATGATAAGTGGTTCCCTTTGTTCTAGGAATCTGATACATCACAATCATTCCTGTTACTATAGTGTTTTGAGTTATCAGTTCAACTGGAGACACTGTCCAATAAGTTGGTCAATTCCAGATCTTTGCAACATAGACTTGTGACTTAATGACCACTTTCTAGGGCACAGGAGGGGAATGTACCAGGCAGTTTTCTTGAAGGCTTGCATGATTGATTCCTAGGACACAATAATCATCTGAAGCAAGCAGGGAGGGTCGTTTTTCTACTGCTTGCTATTACTCAGTACAGCTTAAATAAAGACAATGGTATTTGTGACTTAGAATAAGGTTATATATTAACATAATGTTTGTTTCTGAATTCCTGGTTTCTGCTTCTCATGTCCCATTTCCCTAATCCATTCTGCTTCTGTATGAAATAGTTTCTTCTTCTTTACTAACTTTCTGATAGAAAGTGAATAAGCAAAGAGTTATGGAAGTAATATGGATGACCAAAAGGGGTAACATATAGGCTACAGACTGGATAATCTGCCCATAAGAAAAATATCACATATTTTCTCTAACATGTGGACTGTAGACCTACCAACAACAAAAATGATAATATGACATGAGTGTTAAATTGGGGCTGTTGGGGGAACCAGTGGCAAGGGGAAAAGGAAAGGAGGGTGTTGGGATATGACTGAAGTGTATTATATGTATTATGAACATAGCATAATGAAACCCTCTAAAACTGTAAAATGAAGGAGGGTGGGGAGGTGGGATGAGAAAGAGTAATAGTGGGGGTGAACTTGAAAGAAAACTAACCAAGGCCTGAGCATGCAAAAACATATTCATTGTTTATTTCTAGCACGCAGTCCTTTTAAGAGTCTGCTGTAGTTTAAATCTTTTTTATTTATGTGTTTATTGATTTTTTTAGGTGCATCAAGTCTGAAGAGAAATCTCTTGGTGTGGGATTGCATGCATTTTGCACAAGAATATTTGGTATGGAATGTTTTCCCAACATTATTATCAAGCCAAAGTAGTTGGTAAATGAAGAAGAACAGTCTTTCAAATATCGCTTCTGTTTATAAACAGAGCCTGTAGTTAGTATGAGAATGAAGTAGAAGAACAGTCTTTCAAATATTGCTTCTGTTTATAAACAGAGCCTGTAGTTAGTATGAGAATGAAGCACAGAAAAGATTGGAGAATGTCTACTTTTCACATTTATAAAGGTCCTATCTAGACATCATTATGCTCTTCATCTGTTAGACTTGAAGAGAAAATGAACAGGAAATATGTTAAAACAAAATTTACACACAATTGGCCCAACGCATTTCAGGAAATATTAAAAAGTTCAGAATTACTAATTCTATGTATAATTTTGTTGCATTTCATGCATAATACTTCTTATTCCTTATAATCTAGAAATTCCACAGTAAATTACAATTTCTAAAAATAAAATTTGGAATATTTGATTTATATTTTGTTATACTGTATTTATTTTAAAATTAGGGAAAATCGAAATATTTCCAAATAGAATAATGTCTCTTAATCCTTACCTTGTTAGTAGACGTTTTTCTTTCTTTCTTAATTGCAGCTGGCATTCCTGCACCTATATATTTTGGAGCTTTAGTGGATGCAACCTGTTTACATTGGGGAACTTTAAAGTGTGGAAAACCAGGAGCATGCAGAATGTATGATGCAACCAACTTCACGTAAGGGTGATTTTTAGAGCTACTTTTAAGCATAGACTATGTATAAAATGAAACTATATCTAACATATTTTTTGTTATATGACAAGGATATCTTTGGCTTTATTTTCAGACTATGTACTGATGTTATAGCTTCTTTATTTATATGGAATTTTATCTCCTTTTCATTTTTAAAGTTCTTGATAAATATATTTGAGAAAGGGATAATCAAGACTGAATAGAGGCATCAATGCAATAGGTGTGTAGCTGCATATTGAGGTGAGTGAGTGTGGAAGACCATTGAGATCAACAGGAAAAAATGGGAACCTAGTAAGAGCCAGACACCTGAACAAGAGCACAGTAAAAGGAAACAAAATGAGACCAGCGCCTGCCACACTGACTTTACAATCAGAGAAGAGAGTCCTCTTCCCTTAGCAGAGATAAGGGTGAAAGAGAGACCAAGCAAATTCTATCAGCATGGGCACTGGCAGTTCTAGCTACTGGAAAGTTTCACAATCTTTACAGGCTTGCAACCTAATTACATAAATAACCTGAAATCTGTACAGTGGCCTTGTTGTGGAAAAGAATTTCACACCATCTCCCAGAAAAACCCTAGGATTCTGTAGCTATCTTGAAAAGAGAGATGTCCCATCTGTGGGGCTCCACAGACATCCCATTGCACTGGATCAGTGGGTAGCTGCCTCATGAACCAAACTTGGTTCAGTGTGACATATACCTGCTGAGAGAATTAAATTGAAAAGGAAGGGCATTGCTACATGGAGGGGAACCATGCTCAAGAACTGGGAGATAGATCAAAGGTGTGGCCAGTAACAGTTTCACAATGAGACAGTTATACACAGGGTTCCTACCACCTCTCCCCCTATGCTACAATGGGAAATGCTCACCACCAGGACAGGGAAAGAGCTATGTAATTCCATTGCTGCCCACCCTTAGGAGCATGCTAAGAACAATGCCTTAGCTCTGGCTATTGCCCTTCCCTGATGAGCATAGCCTAAGAAGGTCCAGAAAGATAGTTTGCGTGGCACCAGCAGCATTCTGCTCATTTTCTCCTGTAAGCACTTCAGCTGAGAGGGATTTTGTCCAGTTTCTAGCATAACCCACTCCTGGTTCAACCTTGAAGGGCACTAGAGATGAAAGAATTGGGGATGAAAGCCCCATGAATTAATCAGTCCCCAGGTGTGCATGTCTGGGGTGTCTGAGGTCTCATTCCCAGTCAGGTATGCCCTCATTAGCAGCAGAGAGGAACATAACAGCTACTGCTGCCAACACACCTGTGAGGAGTCCCACTGTTAGTTGAAATTTGACCTCATCTTGTCACACACTGCTAACAAGACTGGATGTGAGCACCACAGAGGGGATGCTGTGATTCATATCCTCCTCTTTCCCCTGAAGCACCTGTGCATACACCATATTACAGTCAAAGGATAAGTGCTTTAGGCTCCCTCACCCCTACTGGGGCAGTCAGTGATATAGCCCCTTACAAGTAAAAGAGCCAAATCAACAGTGACTTTGGAAATCCCTATCACCCTATAGGGGTCCACTTCCCTTGTAGAAATAGCCATTCATGATGCACCCCACACTCTGCTGCCTCCACCACACCTGCCTGCACTGCTAGATTGCCTGCATTCTTGTAGATTCACAGAGACAGTGGGTTTTTAACTTCAATACGGTACATACTTCCTTCAAATTAACTAATAGCAGCCAAAGAAACTACATGGAGATTACACTATGGTACCCAGTTGGAAATAAGCCAATATCCCAAGACATCATTAGGAGAAAGCTTCTTACCAAGAAGACCATTCCATAAAAGTGGTACTGTATACATTCCAGGTACAGAAATCCTAATGTAGGAACTCAACAAATATGAAGAAACAAGGTGATATGGTACCTCATCCCTCATACCTCATAAAGATCATAACTCTCTAGTAATAGATCCTGAAGATACCAAAATGGATGAAATGCCTGTTAGTCAAAAGTTTTTTTTAAAAATTCTCAATGAGCTCCAAAAAAATATAGACAAATAGTTAAATGAAATTATGAAGAAAATGCAAGATATGAATGAGAAATCCACCAAAAAGAAATTTCAAAAAAGAACCAAATAGAAATATTGGAAATGAAGAACTGAATAGGTAAAGTAAAAAAATTCAGTCAAGAGGGGTGCCAGTGGCTCATGCCTATAATCCTAGCTACTCAGGTAGTAGAGATCAGGAGGATCTTGGTTCGATGGCTACCCCTGGGCAAATAGTTCATTTTGAGACCCTATCTCAAAACAAACCTATTACAAGAAAGGGCTGGTCAAGTAACTCAAGCAATATGAGTCAGGGCCTAGCAAGCATCAGGCCCTGAGCTCAAATCCCAGTGCTGCCAAAAATATTTCAGTCAGAAGTATCAACTACAGACTAGATCACAAATTTGAAAATAGATCTTTTGAAATATATACAGAGAGCAAAAAAGAAGAAAAAAATCTAGAATATTCAAGATCTTTGGAACAACAGTGAACGATTACATAACCACATCATTAGCATGTCAAAGGGAAGAAGATAATGGTTACAGTCATAAAGTCCAGAAATAAATAATAGCAGAAAACTTCATTAATTTTGGGAAAAGACATGGACATCCATGTAAGAAGGCTTATAGAATCCCAAGTAGACATCATCAGAAGATATTAACCATGACATATTATAATCAAACTGTCAAAAGTATAAGATGAAGAAAAGAATTAAAATCTACAAGAAAAAGCACCAAGTCACACATAAGGGCAACCCCATCAGCAGAAACCCTACAGGCAATGAGGGAAGGGAAAGGAACATTTCAAGTCCTGAAAGGAAATAACTTCTCACCAAGATTGCTATACCCAGCAACACTATACTTTAGAAACAAAAGAGAAACAAAGATTTTCCAAAATAAGTAAAATATGAGGGAATTCATGACCACCAGACCAACCTTAGAAAAAGAGCATAAGGGAGTTCTCATCTAGAAGTTAAAGAAAGATAAATACCACCATGATATTACATGGAAGTATAAATCTCAATAGAAAAGTAGACACAAAGAAGAGACATAGAAAAGAATCAAACATTACCAAAACAATAAACCATCTAACCTTACAGATGAATAATGGAGGAAGAAACAAAGAATAGTCAAAACTAGAAGAAAAATCAACAAAAGATAGGCATAAGTCCATACCTCTCAATAACAGCTCCAAGTATAAATGGACAGAATTATTCAATTAAAAGATACAGACTGGATGAATGAAGAAAAAAAAACACCACCCAAGAATATGCTACCCATAAGAAACTCATCTGACAAGTATAGACAGTGTTACTTTTCTGTTTCTGTGTCTAACCACTTGAGATTTGTTTTGGCTCATGGTTTCATAGGTTTCAGTATGTGGTTACTTAGACTTATCAGTTTGGGCTGGTGATGGGGTAGAACATTATGGCAGGACTGTAAAGCAGCTCACTTCATGATGGGTGGAAAGGAGATAGAGGTAAGAGAGAGAGAGAGAGAGAGAGAGAGAGGAAAGGGTCCAGAGTTCACAATTCTCTTCTATAGCACACTGTCAGTGAGTCAGTAACTTAAATTTGTTCCACTGGACCCCAACTCTTAAAGATTTCACCAGCTCCCAACAGTGCCATTAGCTGGGATCAAGTCACACACATGGCTTTTGTGGGGACATTTAAGGTCCAAACCTTAACATTCTACTCCTAGTGGCTCATGTGCATCTCATAATGCAAAGGCATTTAGTCCATCTCCAAGAGTCCCCATATTCTTGGCAGTTCCAACCCTGCTCCAAGTCAAAAGTCTCTGAGACTTAAAGAATATGTTGAATTGTGGGTCCGTATAAAAACCAAATGAAAGCTGTAAACTCCCAAGATACAATGACTCAGGGCAAATATTCCCATTCCTAATCCGAGGAATAGAGAAATAATGATAAATCCAACCAAAGTGAGACAGAAACTCAACAGGGCACACATTCAATCCTGTAGCTCTGCCCTGTATCCAAGGTACATTATGGCATCATGTGGGCTCTGAAGGGCTTGAGCAGCCCCACCCCTATGGCCTTGCCAGCAGTAGTCCACATGGCCACTCTCTTGCTCTAGCTTTGTCCACCATCTGCAGCACCACTTGGCAAGTGGCCCAAGTTCCTAGCCACTCTACATTCTGAAGCCTATAATAAACATTTATAACAATTGACTGGGTCCAATGCCATGATGAAAACAATGTTTAACTCAAAGTGTTGATACCATAGAAACTCAGTTTTCTGTCTACAATGTGATAGAGTTATAAATCTCTTAACAGTAGATTGCCAAAACCCCATCTGATTGGAAAGAGAAGAAAAAGCAGTCAAATTACTTATGGGTAAAAAAGTAATTGTAGTGAAGGGCTGAGGGCCTGGCTTAAGTGGTAGAGTGCCTGCCTAGCAAGTGTGAGGCCCTAAGTCCCACCATGTGTGTGTGTGTGTAGAGAGAGAGTAAATTATAACAAAAATAAGTAACTAGAGCTCTATGTGACTGAATAGAAAACATGGGCTGAAGCCAAACCAACCAGTAGAAAAAAGAAGTTTTTAAAGCTTTAAAAGTCATCTATCTATCATTTATCCATCTATCAACTGATTGATCTATCATCTATCTATGTTAAAAAGATAGAGCCTGAGATTGAAGGAACTCAGGATTTTAAAAAGTGTAACAAAGTACAAATAAAGTAGAACCTGATAAATGATTCAATAAACTACATATTGATGAATTCCCACCTTAAATAAGTATCTTAGACCCAATATGCTTTTAAAATCTCCCCAGAACATATTAGGTCCAAAAACAATACAACATCATTCTGGACATCTTATTTTCCTGAACTGGAAATTCAACAGGAGCCTAAAGGAGTAACAGACCTGAATTTAAAAGTTTTATTTAGAGGCTCTACATCTAGAAGTGGGCAGTGCTTTCTGCGACATCAGCTTCTAAACAGAAAATACTTCCAGTGGGTCAAGAGACTAGCTGGACAGTTAGTGTTTTAATTAAAGTGATGGGATAGAATACTGTTATTGGGCTAAGTAGCATTCCTCGAAATTTCCATGTCTACTCAAAACTTCAGAATATGATCTTATTTTGAAATAGGATCCCTGCAAAAACAAAAAATTTTAAAAAGGGTGTAAGTACAGACACTTAGAGATTTCAGATAGAACAATTTGATAATATATTAGAGAATTTTCTAGACAAACATAGATTACTAAATTTCATTATAAACACATAGAAATATGAGTATTTTACAGCTATTTAGAAAAATGCCTCCCTCCCCAATGTACCAAATCTAGAGACTTTAAGGTAAATTTTATCAAATGTCCAATGAAGTGATGATTCCTACATTATAAAAGTTATTCCAAGAAATGGCAAATGGAAATTTTACCAATTCATCTTCTAAAGCTAGTGCAATTTTAATATCATACCCGACAACTTCAGCACAGGAACAATAAAAAACATAAGCTCAGCTACTCAGGAGGTGGGGATCAGAAGGATAATAGCTGGAGGCCAGCCCATGTAATAAAAGTCCATCTCAATAAATAATACACTAGGTGAGGTGACACACATCTGTAACCAGCTACTAGGGAGAAATATACAGAGTGATTGTGGTCTGAGGCCAGTCCTGGGCAATAAATAAGACCCTATCAAAAAATAACTGAAACAAAGAGGGCTAGGGGCAGAGCTCTGGGGATAGAGCGCCTGCCTAGTAAGTGTGAGGCCCTGAATTCAAACTCAAGTACGGCTAATAATGATGATGGTGATGGTGAAGGTGAAAACAAGAAATGATGAAAATAAATTTGGATTTTCTGGTTAGAAAATTAAACACATATTTTACAAACATTAGAATTAGTAAGTCAGCAAAGTTGCTTACATAAAATTGTCATGAAAAACAATTAGCTTCTTTTGTCCTTAGGGGAATAAATATCTTTAAAGAAACAGAAAACTAGTTTGCACTAACCATATTGTCTATATAAGACTTCATATGTTGTAATTTTTTAAATAGGCACATCTACCTTGGCGTGCCAGCAGCACTGAGAGGATCAAGTTACCTTCCAGCTTTCTTGGTCCTAATTCTTTTGAGGAGGCGTGTTCTACCTGGTGAAAATGACTCTTCAGGAACCAAACTTGCAGGGACCAAGGTTGCAGAAAAGGAACATCAGCTCAAAGACCTACAGCAAAATTCCAAGGCTGTGAATGATGAAGAATTGAAAACTAAATTATAATGTCCCGTTGTCTCAGCCTGCTCAGAGCTGGAGAACACACTGTACACTTAATTGTTTTGAAATCATTAGAGGTACTGTAGGTAACTTTTTCTTATCTTTAAGAGCCTCAAATTTTTACCATAATAGAAATACTCACTGATAGTATTTCTGAGGTATCAGAATGCCACTTAAGTTTTTCCTAGGAGTGACATTTATGCAAATAAACAGACTTTTAGAGCCAGCTTTATGTTAAAACAGCAATTTCACTTTTAACTCATATAAGGAAAAAGTATATTTCCCATATTTTTTTAGCCAAATAGTTCTAAAATTTTCCTATTATGAAGACATATTTACTTCCAGTGAATTTGTGTTTTGGTATTGAAGTTATTCAGGACCAAAATTTTTATGTGACGTTGAACTATTTGACTTTATATCACTTCCATGTGAAAGAAGCCTCCATCTTCTTAATCTATTTAGGAGTTTTTCTTTTATTTTCTTTATTCATCTCATACATGACTCTTTTAAAATAATTGCTCATTGATATGTCATCTCTCTTCTTTATTACTCATGTCATATATTTGCTCTTTTCTTTCAGAGTACTGACAAACTAAATCAGGTTATTAAAAATCATGTGGAATCTTTCACCAGTTGATATCTGGTAACTAACTTCTTTCTTGAAAACAAATATCTGAATTAAAGGATAGAGCAGTATGAGAAAGACAGTCCTTACAGGCCATTTGTAGTGTCAGATATTGTTGAAGGACCACTTTCCAACATTCAGAAGACATCTATACACCGATGCTTATGTCACTCATTCTGTCCTAAGTTAGAACACAAACACTAATTTTCCCACATCATCGTAGAGAGGGAAACTTTTAAAAAGTGACTTCTGTTATGAAACTAAGGTTAATAAAATTTGTGATGCACATTTGAAAAATCAACTCATATTCTTTTGTCACTAATGGATACAGGAATAAAAGGATTTTAGTGGTACAAGAGACATTACTGGAAATACAAAACTCTGATTCAAGACAGCAGAATAAACAGACATTTTTCTGTCTACTCCTTTTCTTCCTCATTTTGAAATGAAAGTCATTATATAAAAGTGACATAAATCCCTAACGGTGAGGAGAATGCAGGCAGGAAGTGTGGAAGAAGTGGGTACCAACAGAGATGTTTATTTCTGTTTAATTTAAAGGGAATGAGAGTCCACATCCACAGGGATAGAACAGAGTGCACTTAGAAGGAGCCTGGAGTACAGGTGGAGGTGTTCAGCTGTTAGTTGGACTTGATGTTAGCCAACTTTCCATTATTATGACAAATATCTGAGATAAATCAACTTAAAAAGAAAGACAGGTGCATTTTGACTTAGAGGTTTCAGCCCATGGTCACTTGGTCCTGTTACTTTGGGTCTGTCATGAGATAGCACATGACAGTGTGAAAATGAGAAGGAAGCTGTATACCTCACGGTGGCTGGGAAGCAAAGAGAAAGAGAGAAAGGGGCAGGAGTCCCAATATATCGTCCAAGGGCATACCCCATTGACCTAACTTCCTTCCACTAGGACTTACTTCTTCAAGCCTCTACTACTTTCCAATAGTGCCATGCTGAGGGTCAAGCCTTTAAGACATGGACTTTTGGAGAATATTCCAGATCCCAACTATAGCAGACAGAAAATAGGCCACTTAATTGAAGAGCTTTTAACAGATTTGTTGTAGGTCCAGAGGAGTACCCGAATGATTGGGTGTGTCCTATGAAAAGAAAGGAATTGAGGTTAGAAACACTGAGTAAAACAGGTTAAAGGGGAAAAATTAAATTTTAGGCTAGTGAAGTTTGGAAGTTCTTTGCCTCGATGTACTAAAAATAACCAAGATTCAAGACAGGGGTAAGGTTGAAACATGAGAGAGGAGGGAAAATCGTCAGAAAAAAAGAGTGTATCTTTGGAGTTGGAATGTTTACAGCAGTGAAGTGTACTATTATAGTCTGGTGATGTGGAATTAGGAGATGCTTTTTCGTCTGGGGAGGAAGTGGGAAGAAAGAACTGGAAGCTGAAATGAAGAGCCAGGACTTACGTTATATCCAGAATTGTGGGAAAAAGTGGACAGTCACCACATGAGAAGTCCTCAGAGGGGGTCAGTTTTGCTTTGTGTGCAATGGTGAAGAGAGTACTCATTTGTGAGATTCAGGATATGTGGGTTTTGGTGCTGATGGACTTTGAGCTTCAGAGGATGCAGGAATGTGGACAGATTTTGGGATGGGAGTCTGAGGGAAAAAGTAAAGAATGAGAAGTATCTGGAAATTAGAAGGAGAATGGGGCAGAACTTGGAGTCCTGGGCTTTCTTAGATGATAGGCTTGAACAGGAACAAAGGACATAGCAAGATGAGTTCTGATGAATTCAAAGCAGACTGTGTTGGTGTTTTAGGAACAATGGTACCTGGACTTCCTGGTGACCTGTTGTCATGGAGGCAAACTGGACAAAGCAAATAGTTACTGGAGCACCTGGGGTCCCTTCTTGACCCCCTACTGAGAGGTGTGAGATAATCCAAGAAAGCTGAGATTTACCCTGTGCACAGTTTGCCCTCTTGAACTTTCCTACAGGAGTACCATAGCCTCAAAAAGACATGGTTTAGACCCAGCGCATTGGGCTCACTGTAAACTCAATGGGGGAGATGACACTTCACCCAGAGCCCCTTTGACACTTCTCAATGGGGAAAACAGGCCAGGGAAAGTGGATTCCCTCATGACCTCTGTTAGAATCCATGGGGTCTGGAGAGACAAGCTCTTATTCTGGTAAATATTTGTGGTTTTTTAAATTTTCATCATAGACTGAATGGGTGGCTCAAGTGGTAGAGTGCCTGTTTTGTAAGTGTGAAGCAGTGAATTCAAACCCCAGTCCCACCCCCGTCCCAAAAAAGAACTCTTTAAAATTTAGTCATGATTATGTTGTGAACCATATTACTTGGAATTTGTTGTGATTGTTTTCTTATTCTAAGTTAATAATTGTTTTTTAGCCTCATTTTGTATTCCTAATTTTGAATTTTATGTGGGCTCTTGTTGCAAATTTTATATACTTTGGTTTCTGACACTGTCCTATCACTGTTTGGGCTCTTACACCCTACCCAGCTTCCTCCCTCCCCACCTGATACATATTCCTACTTGCCTGCCCCAAAAGCGCAGGACTGGATCCCTGAGGGTGAGAAAGGAAAGAGAAGGAAAAGAAGGGATGAGAAGAGAGGGAAAGGGAAAGGGAAAGGGAGAAAATTACAAGAGAATACCTGATAAATTTGGAGAGTAAATGTTATATGGGATGATCTATGTCTAGGGAGTAAATACGTATTTCCAATTATGTTTTACCCTTAGCTTAATCATGTCTGGGATTGGAATAATAAATGCTATTAAACAACATTGTGGTCTTGAATCTCAAACTGATTTCGTACTACCACCTTCTCCAAACTTAATAGAAACAAAGGATTTACTTTTATTGACTGTAAACCTAAGGTATTTTTCAATTTGTTCAACACATGGTGTGGGCACAGGAATTTTTGGAAGTAATTTTAAAACTTTTTAATTATTATTCTGGGGATACATTGTGGCATTTACAAAAGTTCTTACAATATATCAAATATATCATAGTTGAATTCACTCCCTCCATCATTCTCCTTTATCCTTCCCCTTTATCCTTCCTCCCCCCATTCCTGGCATAGTTTCAGCCTTCCATTTACATACATGTGTATAAAGTATTTAAACCATATTCACCCTCTTTACACTCTTTCTGCACATCCTTCTCCCTCCACTGGTACTAGTCCCCTCCAGACAGGACCTGTTTCACCCTCCTGTTCTCCAATTTTGTAAAAGGAAACGTGATATTTTTGTTTGTTTAAAGTAGCTAAACAGGGAGTTTCTGTGGCATTTCCATGTGTATGTGTATTATAAGTGGAATTGGTTAAACTCTTTTTTTTCTTTCTACTTCAGTCCCCTTCTATGGTGATTTCAAGTTTTAAAAATTATGACATATATCTAATTTTTAAATTTATTATTCGAGAGATTTGTAAGTCCAACAAACAACAACCTAGTAGATTGTTTTTATGTTTTTAAATGGTGTAATTACTTTCCTTTTAATTAATTTTTCTCTGTGTGATGTCTCAATCATGTATAAGGATGACTCAGGCAGGACACAAATTGTAGGAAAGGTCTAAGTAGGGCTGAAGCTGTTATTCCACTTCTTTTTTTAAAATAAAGAGCTCAGAACTTTGTTAAAAGAAAATGCTATTCAAGTGAAGTGAGTGATATTGCAGCCTTTCTATAGTTGGCTGTAATAAAAATGTAACCAAATGTCATAAAAAAAATATGCGAAACACAATTAATAACGACACCATAGGATTCTTTCCAGTTCTCAGTATTGGTGACTCTATAAGATGTTTAGTTATATTAAATTTAATTCTCTGATGACACATTAGTTATTCTGTGTGAATAGTCATGGATAGATGAAAATCCTTCACCAACATAATTTTTGATAACTAAATCACTGGAATAAAAGTTAAGAGAGAGATAATATCTCTTTAAATAGATCATCTGCTTACATTTTCTTTAGGTTTATTTATGTTTTTGGGATATGTTTATATTTCTATTTATGTTTTTTTCTTTCTACTGTTGTATAATCCTTGTCTTTTTTTTAGAATATTTATCATTTTCTTTGTTCATTTTTTTTTTCTTTTATTTTGACTTGGGTTTTTTTTATATTTATTTTTGTCTTTTTTTTATCTCTTTTAGTTTATTATGTATTTTATTCTTTTATTATTTTTAATCTTTTCATAGTTTGTGGTTTAATCTATTGGTTTTTAGGTATTTTCCATAATTTTTATATTATCTTTTTAGTATTTGTATTTTTTGTTTTTTAATTTTTATTTACTACTCTTTTTTCTCGCTTATCCTTTTCATTTCTGATTATGTTGTTATGTCTTTTATTTTTCTTTTTTCAGTTAGTTGTTTAGGTGACCATTCCTAATGTAGTGAATCAGTATT